TTTACTCAACCCGAACAATCTCCCTCACGCTGTGCAGTGTGTCGCAGAGGCTCACACGCTTGGGATGCCGATAACCGACGCCATGTACCGTGCGGTCCTCGCAAACTTGTTTCGGCTGAAACTTGATCATGAGGCGGTGCGGTTTGCCGAGCGGGAGTTCGGTAAATGCAACGAGGACCCAGGGAATCCTGTGAATGCATCGCTATCACTAAGCCTTGCCATTATTGACGGACTTTTGGCACATAACAGACCTCAGGAGGCACTCCTATTCTTCTCTACATTTGAGACAAGGCTGGGCAATGTTGTGGGGTCCGCAACGCGCGGACTTGGCACCATTGGGCTTCGTTCGCAAAGGTGGATTGTTCAGGGGCGAGTGGCCGTCGTCGATCACAACGTCCTTCTGGACCCGCGTTGCGAGTCTCTTTTTTCCCATTATGACTCCATACTTGTGCCCTTTTCTTCCATTCGGCTCCTTGTACGTCGGGTGCGGGAGTTATTCGGCACGCTGAAAGGGCGTTACACGAAGCAGAGGCTAAAGCGACTGCAGGAGCTGACGGCCGATCAGAGTATTCCAGTGCGTGTCTTACCAATGGCGCATCAACTCATCGCCCACACTTACATCGTGGATGGACCTATCACATCCGAGTCTGTCGAGTGTTTACGCGAAACGGCACGAGAGAAGAAAGACGAAGATGAGCAGCTGCGAGAAGAGCAGAGGCGTCTCACAGAGTCGGTTTTTATCCGTAAAAGGGATGCACTTTTCTCCGATGATGGTTTTGCTGCTCGAGTTTGTGGAAGCAACCTCAACGAAGGGGCAGATGTGGCTGTTGTAGTGAAACCGGGCGAGACCCCTGTTGTCAGCGGCAGTGGTCCGGTCGTGCTGAACAGCCCGGACCGCATGAGTGCCCCAGAGCGTGTGCTTGCTGTGGCTGTGATGCTCAAATCTCTAAACCCCGACTCTAATGTGCACGTTGTCTCACCAAATCCCGTACAGTTGCAGGTAGTGGAAAAGTGGAACCAAATGCATCCCGCCATACTCCTGACGATGGTTCGTTACCCTGAAGAAGTCACTTTGAAGGCACCGGCAGAAGAGCAGCAGCAGCAGCAGCCCTCTTTTGACAGGAGTAACGAAGAAGTACCCGTAACAAAAAAGGCATCTTGCGATCGGGTGCTTTGGCATGAAAGAAGGCCTCTCTTTTTTCCGTCATGATACGAACGCCATGTTTGTGTACGGAAACAAGTTCACATCACCAGCAATTGTTGCCCTCAGTGGAATGGCATATTTACATCATGCGTAAAGCTACAGGGGAATGAGTGTGAGGGGGGAACCGCCTGAGGAATTAAAAGATGGATTTAACTGATATTGGATTTGTATTCTGGTTTCAATTTGTCGTTGTTGTTTTCGTTGTTGTTTGCCTTTCAGGGCACGTTTTTTGATTTTCTTTTTCCTTTTCACCTTTTGGCTTATCTGCTTTTACGCAAAAACCCCGTGACGAAAGGAGTTGATGGAAGCCCCATGCGATACGGCGGCATTGGGATATCCCGAGACATTCACTGAGGAATTTATTCGCTACTGTCTCGTCCATCATCTCCCGCCGTTGCTATTTCATGACCTCAGCGAGGTGCTGGAAAGGATTCCACGGTATATTCGTGTGCGGCCACAATACATGTTAAAAAACATACTGATGCCCCCAGAGGATAACAACGTCGCAGGTGAGGATGCAGCCAGACAGGAGAGATGCCAAATCAAGGCTCAGATTGCGGCTTCTTTTGGTGTTTCCTCTGCCAGTGTAGAGGAGGTGGAATGGCTTCCAAATCCGTATTACTACGCCGTTCCTCGAGGTGTGGCAATGAGCCGCGCGGCCATTTACCAAATTGGCATGGTCTCTGCGATGGATGCGGCTTCCGTAGCGGCGGTGGTGGCGCTGCGTCCGTGTCAAGGGGACCTGGTGTGGGATGTATGCTGCTCTCCCGGAATGAAACTGAGCCTTATTGCGGACGCCATTGGCGAAACGGGAGTGGCAGTTGGGACGGACATCAATTTGAATCGTTTGTTTACTGCAAGATCAGTACTCAGGAAACACCAAGCAGGGAATGTGTGCCTGTTTGCCGCAGACGGGACGTCTTTTACCCTGCATGAAGCTGCCGCAGCTCTCGACGAAATGATATCATCCGGGAAACCTGGAGGCAACGGCTTAACGCCGTGGGAAGAGCGGAAGTTGCGGCGGTTTCGGAAGCGACGACATGAAATGAGTGTGAAAACCGCGACGGCATCCATTGGCGTGAATGAAGAAAGGGAATTGGCGGTGGCATTTTCCACGGTGCCTGCACGAGAACGGATTTGCTGCATTGAGAAATGGAAGAAAGAGCATCAAGGATTTGACCGGGTGCTTGTTGACGCCGAGTGCTCGCATGATGGATCATTAGCACATATCTTTTTCAATGACGCTACAAGGAAGCCGTTTTCTGCTGCCAAAGCCACGCCAATGACAGTTTCCTCTGGGATTGACAATGCACACCGTATGCAGCGGCTGCATTTGGCCCTTCAATCGGATGAAAAGGAGGCAAAGGTTCAAGAGGAGTTGTCACCTCTTTTACAGATCCAACTGAATCTACTTCGAAACGGCTATTCACAGTTGAAACCGGGTGGGACACTGGTGTACTGCACATGTTCTTTTACATACGAGCAGAATGAATTCATTGTGCGTGAAACCGTTTCTCGTGTAAATTCCAGCAACGACTTAAAGCGGCAGTACAACGGCGAGGCCGTGATACGACACCCCTTTCTATACACGCACGAAATAGTGAGTCTGGAAGCGATATCGCCGATCGTGCGTCTAACAGATGCGCAAGCAGCATCTTTGCAGGAAAGGTTAAAAATGGATCCCGATCCGTACGGAATTCTTTGTGCAGAGGTAAAGAATGAGGAAGAAGCGACCTTCACGGGCGTACGCCTCTGGCCTCGCAACTTCGCCACCAGCTTCCAGTTCATTGCCAAAATATGGAAACGGCCATTGTGTTCTTCAACCACCGAGTAAACGGCGAGACCCTTCAGCGTTTTTGCCTCTTTGTGTATCTTTTGGTGTGTGCGTGTGTGTGTTTTTTCTGGTATTTCCGGGGTTTTTTTTTTTTACCCGGTGTTTTACCGTTGTTTTTCTCTTTTTTATGTGTTTTCTGTGTGTTTTATTTACACGCAATGTCGCTTTCAATTCTTTTTTGTTATTTTTGTTTGTTTATTTGTTTTGGAGGGCGGTTGCTGCGAAGGGCGTGGGGAGCGGAAGAGGACGGAAGGCGACGATGCGTCGGGGATTTAGAGCGGCGTCAATGGCGTGTGCACAGCCGTGCCAGGCAGTGCCGCTATTTTCTCCGTTTGGTGAAAACCTCCACATGTGGCGTTTCTCAGCGCTGGCATTGCACCACCAACAGCAATTCCGACGCCTGGCGTCGCTGGTGGCCGGAGGGGCGAGGGACGACAAAAAGACCCTTGTTGCCTGCTCCGTTGTTGCCCACCAACGCCCCGTGTTGGCCTCCCCCACACAAGTCGTGGATGTCACGTTCTGTGCGACGGGGGTAAATCACGCCCTCCATCGCCAATTCAACGCCGGCAAAACGCTTAAAGGTATTCTTAAGGGATGCGCAGAGCAGAACGCGCTTGGCGTCGCAGCTGCAAGTGGTCAACGCTATTCGGCAATCACCGACGTGTATTTATACGCATTACCTCCGCAGAAGCCGTGCCCACTCCATGCCAGCAACAACTTGCACAGTCATCCCGGTCATGGAACCAAACCCGTTGATGAAACCAATTGCGTTTATCCAATAGAATCCCTAAAAGGGACTGTGTTTCCCTGCCCGGAGTGCTGGCGAAATCTCTCCACCGTAGCAGAAATGCGGCACGATGACGGAGAGGAGGGGCCGTTGAACTTGTTTGTGCAAGCACAAAATGAGACTTCAGCTATGTGGAGTGTTTCTGTCGCCAGGAGATGCCTGATGTCTTCTCCAACCCCTGCGATAGTTGTCACAATAGTGCTCCCCGAATAACGTGTGGTGTGTGAGTTTATACATATTTGCATATAATTTGCGTTCCGTACGTCATGCTGTGGCCTCTCTATCTTTTTTGTGGAGGAAAACTTCCGGACACCGTGAGGGGGTCCAGAAGTGTTATTTAACTTACATATTATTATTATTATTTTTTTTTTTTTGTGTGTGTGTTGGGAGAAAAGGGAAGGAGGGGGATAAAACATTGCAAGAATCGAAGGGAACCTGGAAAATAGGGGAAACGACAATTGAGCACTAGGCTTCTTACTTTCTTGGTCGTGCCATTTTGACGCTTTGGCCGCATGTATCATGCAGGGTGTGCGTCGTGGAACCATTTGCTCCCCGAGCCGCAGTCCTCAACGCCGGCCACCTGCTCCGCAGTGAAAATGACGGCGCCAATGCCATTTCACAACAGAGCGAGGGAGAAGGAAGAAAATGGCAGCGAGCCTGTCGCCCAAATTACGGCAAACGACTGGGAAACAGAAGCCCTCCGCCGATACAGAAGACTAAAGAGCAGTCTGACAAGCATCTCCTCACAGCCCGAGTACCTCTCGTCCAGTGCGAGCAATGGAGCTCTTTTGCAACTGATACTGCGCTCTAAACTGTTACCAATCACGGATTGGTGCGAATGTGCGCAAGTGATGGGGAGTTGGTTTCAAGGGCCCAGGCCTCTCCCTCTGGAGCTGCTTTCCTACGTTTTGACTCATCTTATCATGACACATAAATTGACGCCACACAGAGCCGCGAAATGGATTTTGGACCTGAGCAAAGTACTTCTTGCTGGGGATACCGATGCCGGTGAGCCATGTGGTTTGATTCCCATCAGGAGTTGGGACGTCGCGACGGCGTTGGAGCGTTCCGTTTACATTTTGCAGTCCACGGAACCCTCATCGTTTAATATCATCTCCGCCGTGCTGCTTGACCTTCTGCTGGATGAAATACTCCCAGGAGGAGCTGCGCCAGAGTCGTGGGGACTTCTACCCCTCTGTTTTCTTTTAAAACGCAACAAGGAATTCATGCAGTCCGAGTGGGAAAGGGACAAGAAACGGCATTGCGCTCGCATGAAGCGTGCGTGCATACCGGGATGTGAACTTCCCATGCACATTGTGGCGGTCCTCACTGCCGTCGTGTGAGCAGTTATTGGCTGTAACACAGAGAGAGTTTGCTTGTTTGTGTGTGTGTGTGTGTGTGGCGTGAACGGCGTAAATAAATGGACTAGAGTCATTTTGCTCTTACTTGTTGACACTCCCCACAGACATTTGTTGTAATAATTGTTGCTCAGTCTTTTTCACAGATCACACGCCTGCTGCGGATGTTTTGTCTGGCATCCGGAAAGTTTTTTTTGTTTGTTTTTTTTTTTGCGTGGAGCAGATAAATCAATATTGTAATCTATGCGTTGTTCCAAAGCCAATTACGGCATCTGACATTTCCCCCGCTGCCATGCGTTAGTTTATGTCACCGACCGCGAGGGTAATAACGAAGACGGATATTGCGGCTGCCACGGAGCACACAGACACACACAGAGAAACACACACTTATACTCGTTAGGTTACACACGCACCGACACTTCTTTATAAAGGAAAAAGGGATATCAGTTTGTTTGTTTGTTTGTTTTTTTCCTTTGCATTCAGTTGATTGTTGGTAGTTCATTACGCATTGTGGAGGAGGCGATGCGGAGAAAAACTTCTCGAAAACACGACAACGCCACCCTCACGGTTTCCCTAAACGGTATTTGCAAGCAAGCGGATTTTCTTCTATTAGCCTGCATCTTTCACAAATTGAAGAACTACGTCCAACTGAGACAGCAAGACACACATCTCAAGAGATGTGCAGTACTCCTGAAGCATCAGGCCATCAAAAAGATTGTGACGGATCACTTTATCCGTTGGCTCGGCAACACGCAACGCCAAATCAGCATCCGGTCCGGACAACGTGAGCCCACAAAGATTGTTGTACTTCCTCGAGCCCAGGACTTTATCAATTTGGGTCTTCGTTACCTGGCGCGATGGCGCCTTTGGCTCCGATACCTGCGGCAGCGTCAGCACCGGAATGTGACGCTTCTTTACGACAAGGTAACGGAGGTCAGGCACCACAAGTTCTTTTTTAAGTGGTACTGTTTTCTCTCTGAAGGGCAAAAAAAGAGCTTTTTGTTAAGAATTCATAACCTAGAATCTGAAAACATGCTTCGAGCAGAATATATTGCAGAGCTGGAAAATACACTCCAAAAACAGAATAAAAGCATCAATAACCTCACAAAAGACGCAGAAAAACTTCAGGAGCAAAAAAAAAAGCAACAAACCGAAATCAAATGCATCAAAGAGGCAATGGAAATGGCAATAACAAAACTTGAAAAGAAATCTACTGAGGTGCCGGGTACCAAAACACTACATGCAGCCGAGGAGATGGCTCGGTATGGGGATGACGTGCCCCTTCGATTGCTGACTAGCTGTACGGATGCGGCCAACGCGCTTGAGAAGCTGCGGAAGGCACTGCCAGACGGTTTCGTGTCTTCGGGCGGGAAGGAAGGCATTGCAGACGTCATTTGTCAGCAGACGAAGGCGCTACAGGGCTATACAAGCAGGATGGAAAATGAGCTTGCTGCCCTGCGCAGCTCCGACAAGGAACTGCGGCAGCTGGTGGAGGATCTCCGAGCACATGACGAGCGTTGGGAGCTCAACCCTAAACGCACAGCGAGGGCCGCCAAAACTCACCAGAAGCGGCAGCTGGAGGGCAGTGACTGGGGCACCGTGCTGCGGTCCAGGCCGGTGGAGCTGCAGCGCGCGCTCATCACCGATGCTGCGGACGCATGCCACGTTGAACCGGAGTGCATCACGAACGTTGTCATGGCGGCGGATGGACTTCTGAGCTTTGACGTGCAGCATGACCCCTCGGTGAGTGCGGAGGAACTCAGTGGGCGAGTCAATGAGTACCCGTTCCGCACCGTGAGACGGGTGTACCAACGCCGTACCGCACCTAAGGATGGATTGGACCTGTTAGAGGAGCAACTTGCAGAAAAGGAGCAGAAGGTGGTGGAGCTTCGTGAGTTTATGGAGATGGCCGTCACGACTCTCGGGAATCCGGACGCCGCGCCGCGGGTGTCTGAGGTGCGAAGTGCAGCCGAGGAGATGGCTCGGTATGGGGATGACGTGCCCCTTCGATTGCTGACTAGCTGCACGGATGCGGCCAACGCGCTTGAGAAGCTGCGGAAGGCACTGCCAGACGGTTTCGTGTCTTCGGGCGGGAAGGAAGGCATTGCAGACGTCATTTGTCAGCAGACGAAGGCGCTACAGGGCTATACAAGCAGGATGGAAAATGAGCTTGCTGCCCTGCGCAGCTCCGACAAGGAACTGCGGCAGCTGGTGGAGGATCTCCGAGCACATGACGAGCGTTGGGAGCTCAACCCTAAACGCACAGCGAGGGCCGCCAAAACTCACCAGAAGCGGCAGCTGGAGGGCAGTGACTGGGGCACCGTGCTGCGGTCCAGGCCGGTGGAGCTGCAGCGCGCGCTCATCACCGATGCTGCGGACGCATGCCACGTTGAACCGGAGTGCATCACGAACGTTGTCATGGCGGCGGATGGACTTCTGAGCTTTGACGTGCAGCATGACCCCTCGGTGAGTGCGGAGGAACTCAGTGGGCGAGTCAATGAGTACCCGTTCCGCACCGTGAGACGGGTGTACCAACGCCGTACCGCGCCTAAGGATGGATTGGACCTGTTAGAGGAGCAACTTGCAGAAAAGGAGCAGAAGGTGGTGGAGCTTCGTGAGTTTATGGAGATGGCCGTCACGACTCTCGGGAATCCGGACGCCGCGCCGCGGGTGTCTGAGGTGCGAAGTGCAGCCGAGGAGATGGCTCGGTATGGGGATGACGTGCCCCTTCGATTGCTGACTAGCTGTACGGATGCGGCCAACGCGCTTGAGAAGCTGCGGAAGGCACTGCCAGACGGTTTCGTGTCTTCGGGCGGGAAGGAAGGCATTGCAGACGTCATTTGTCAGCAGACGAAGGCGCTACAGGGCTATACAAGCAGGATGGAAAATGAGCTTGCTGCCCTGCGCAGCTCCGACAAGGAACTGCGGCAGCTGGTGGAGGATCTCCGAGCACATGACGAGCGGTGGGAGCTCAACCCTAAACGCACAGCGAGGGCCGCCAAAACTCACCAGAAGCGGCAGCTGGAGGGCAGTGACTGGGGCACCGTGCTGCGGTCCAGGCCGGTGGAGCTGCAGCGCGCGCTCATCACCGATGCTGCGGACGCATGCCACGTTGAACCGGAGTGCATCACGAACGTTGTCATGGCGGCGGATGGACTTCTGAGCTTTGACGTGCAGCATGACCCCTCGGTGAGTGCGGAGGAACTCAGTGGGCGAGTCAATGAGTACCCGTTCCGCACCGTGAGACGGGTGTACCAACGCCGTACCGCGCCTAAGGATGGATTGGACCTGTTAGAGGAGCAACTTGCAGAAAAGGAGCAGAAGGTGGTGGAGCTTCGTGAGTTTATGGAGATGGCCGTCACGACTCTCGGGAATCCGGACGCCGCGCCGCGGGTGTCTGAGGTGCGAAGTGCAGCCGAGGAGATGGCTCGGTATGGGGATGACGTGCCCCTTCGATTGCTGACTAGCTGCACGGATGCGGCCAACGCGCTTGAGAAGCTGCGGAAGGCACTGCCAGACGGCTTCGTGTCTTCAGGGGAATTTGACTCTATTGTCGATGTTGCGTGCAATCGAGCCGCTGAACTGAATGATAAGGTTGTACAGTTGTTGAAGGAATTGCAGGATTCCAAGAGTTTTGCGGTATTTTTGCGTGAAGTCTTGCAGGAGGCAGCGTCAAGGATTTTGGTGTTGGCGAATTACACGCCTTTTTCTCACCCACCATCTCTATTTAAGACATTTGACGAAAAGGTTGCTTCGCTGTCGTGGTGTGGCTCAGAAATTAATCTTGATGCGTTTGAAGGCTCCCCCGATGCAAGAGATTCTCTGGATGTCGTGAAGGATCACTTGTTGCAAGATCTTAGTCTGACAGCCAATGGGCCCTCTACAGCGGGTGTGCTACGCTCTTTTAATGGGGCTTTGGGGCAGATGTATGAGATGCTGACGAGATGCAAGAAATTCTTCTTGGAGCAGGAGAGGTTGGCAGGGCAGGAGGGAGAGAAAAGAGTGTTACTGGTCAAAGCTGTGAAAGACGCCGTCGCGGCGCTACAGGGATGGTCAGTTGCGTCCGGTGGTTTTGCCACGGAGGGGATGGATGAACTGCAGCTTGTGACAGACATGAGGCAAGAGAGTGAGGTGGCCTCCAACACACTTGCACGTTTGCGGCAGCTACTGAGTGGGAAGGCAGTGGGGAAGAAGGTGGGCTCTGGCAGCTTGAACGAGTTGCACGGTGATGAGTCCCTTATTGTGCAGTTGCCTGTTATTGAGACGCATGAAGATCTCTTAAATGCCGTGTCGAAAGTGTACGACCGGCTCCAGGAGGTCGGCCAGGCGTACAATGATATTTACTCTGCATTTATTCAATTTGTTCCAGAACCCTCTCCGATTATTAACGACATGAGTTGGAACGTCAGTTGTGTAGCACCGCCAACGAGCCTTTCTTATGACCCGGTTAAGCGAGCCGAGTTTGTCATCCGCGGTATGCACAGCTACATCGAGGGGAAAGGACGGGAAGTGAAGGAGCTTCGAGGTGTGATGCGTCGTGGCATTGTGGCTCTTGGCGGTGCCGAGGAATCCGATACGGACGACGATCTCATGGACCAGCGAAGGAGTGCGGCGAAGAGTACGGCGGTGGGAGAGAAGCTCGCAGTGCTCTGCCGTGAAACCGGCGACGCCATCGAGGACACCAGAAAGGCACTTGGGTTACCGAATGAAGGCAAGTTAAGGCTACCGGCAGTGATCTCCAACCTAGAGGAAAAAATGCAGGAGCTGGATCTTGTCACGATGGAGTCTGCATTGCTGGTGAGGGAAGTAAGAAGCACCCATACCGATACACAAGAAAGCTCTTCAAACCTATCGCGAAATCTGAGACCCAAACGGAAGCCAGCAGCACTGGTGGTAGATGATTTGAAATCGGGTTGGACGAACGCGGTGAGGCCTCTCCATCCAAGTCTCTCTTCCGCTGAGGCAGGAACACCCAATTTGAAACCCGATGAGCTCCTTCGGCAGATGCGAATTGAACTACAGGATAAGAATGCTGAAATACGGGAGCTTTTCGGGGCTTGTCGCACAGTTGTCAGTCTTCTCGATGGCTCTTACAAGGCGAATGTTCAACCGCCGCAGTGTGAGGGTGCACTTGTGCCGCTCCTCACCACACAAGCTGAGGAATTGGAACGGGCACTGCGGCTTGCAGAGGAAGTTATTTCTTCCTTTGAGGTGCAGGGTACCAGTGGCGTCGGCAACTACCTCACACTGCTTGCGTCGCAGTTAGCATCGCTACGCATCGAGAAGGAAAAACTACAAGAAGAAATGAACAAACACAAAAAGGAAAACACACAGCTGGTGACTGAATTTAATGAGGAAATTAGTTGCCTTAAGAAGCAAAACGAAATCCTGCTCAAAAGACTGAAGTCCCTGCAGGAAAAACTGGGGGCACTTGAAAAATTACGGCATCTTCGAGCAAAAGAGATGATGGAGATATTACGCTTGAGAACAGTAAAAGAACACCTCGGTAGAAGTGTAATATTGTGGTTAGGAAAAGTCGTTGCCACGTGCACTGCAGAAGCACGCGGCGCCGCTAATGAGCAGAAAAGGCTTTCTATTGCCATTGTCCAGAAGCAGCATCAGCAGAACCAACTTGCAAAATTACTCGCAATTGCCCTTCACTCGCTGCCAGGGGAAAAAACAACAAACGCCGATGTGTTGGACACAGAGAATGCATTGATACAGTGCGCACTGGAAGACGAGGGTGCCGCTCTTGAGGCTTTTGCGCGGAAGCGACTCGATGCGGCCAAAGTGTGGATGCAGTCATTTTTAAGAGCCCTTTCCAGTGTGGTGTCGCTTCGGGCGGATACCGTAGCTCTCCGCCAGTTGATAGCAAATTGCTGGCGTGGGAGATTGGAGGAGGCGTACGGCCAGGTATTGAACGCAGCCTTTAAGGAGATTGCAGATTTTGACAAACAGAAAAAAATGGAGTGTGATTTCCTGCGAAATCGTGCGCGGGACCGGGAGGAGATTGCGCGTGAAAACAGGAGTCTTTCCTGTGAGATTGCTGGTATGAAGGAGCAGTTGGGTCTGGCGCAAGATTACATGGCGTTGCAGGACGAAAAAATTATTAAACTACAACGGGAGAACAGGGACCTCCGGATTGGCGGTGTGTTACGCCGGGAGGAGAAGGAGAGCAACACTTCCACCGATGCCACCCCCTCAAAAAGTCTCCGTGGCGGTTCCGGGGTGGAGCGCATAATGATTGCGCGGGCAAAAAAACTGGCGCTAGAGGCGATCAACGCCATGGCGGGGAAAAACTTGGCGGCGTGCATTGGGGAAGTGGCTGAGCTCACGCTGGAGATGTACCGTCGCACCTCAGCCGCTCTTGAGGACGTCTACAACGCCCAGAATGCGCCGCTTGGTCCACTTTCTGCAGTGGTAGAGGCACGGCTGCAGGAGCTACAAAATATGCGTGGTGTTCAGAATGATATTGTGGCGCGCCTTCCCGAGTTATTTCGGGTACCATATGTCAATTGATCTTTTTGGGTTGCCTTTAATTATGTAGTGTACTTTGCTCTCTTTATGTGTACGTTTTTTTTCTTACTTTTTTTTCTCTCTTTTGGTTTTATTTCTTCCTGTCTGTTTGATTGCCGGAGAACGGTCGCTGTGCACATCCCATCGTAAGTGTCTACGGGGAAGCGTGTCTTTATTGATTTTTTTCTTGCATTTCTCATGCGTTGTCTTCATTTATTTTTTTAAGAGACACAGTGGTGGTCAGGCTCGCTGACGCAACGATGGATGGTGGTTGTAGTCACCACATTGGAAGAGAAACATTGGAAAAGTACGAAGAAAAGTAATATGCACACACATTGCTACATTTTGTAGGGGGAGTTTTTAGGGGAAAATGCGTGGCATCGGAAATTTAAGGCACACACGGCATTGAATGAAGGGTCATTCTCATTGGCCGTTATTATGCTGTGATCTTTTTCCACTCTTTAGCTGCCGCTGATGAGGAGCCTGGGTGTAGTGCGCTCCGCAATGCGTCTCCATTGTGTTCACGAAAGACCTCGCCGGGAGTGTTATCATTCCCGGCAGACTGTAGCGCGTGAGCCACAATATGGGTGGGGATGGGATTGGCTGCTACTCCCCCTGTAGAGTTTGTTAATGCGGTGCGATACCGGTTGGATACATTTGCAATCCGGTAGAATGTTGGCGTAACGCCTCATGCGTGGGAGCAATGGGAGGATTGCTTTTGATGATGATGATGATGACGTGAGGATTGTTTTTTTTTTTTTTCTTTTTTTCTCGCATTGCATGGCGGGGTGGGGTAGGACTTGCATTCCCATTGCGTTGTCTTCTGGATCCGGAAGGTGACACTGGGCCCGGTTTTGCCAGAGTAATCCTTTTAGTCGAAAACCCACAAAGGAGCAAAAAAGAAAAAGGAAAAAAATAATAAGGCGGATGAGTCTGTGCGAAAACTGCAATTTGGCGACTGAGTGCCGTGGCATCCAAGACATTGAAGATGCAAAGGCTTCGGCATCAGAGTTCCACTACGAGCCAATCTTCCAGCCTTCTGATCCGCACCACGACGAGACAGAGTACTACATGCTTGAAGGCGATTATGTTAAGACGGTGGAAGTTCTTGGGAAAACGATCTTGCAAGTAAAACCAGAAGCACTCACTGCTTTGGCGCATCAAGCCTTTGCCGACGTACATCACTTCTTCCGTAAGGATCACCTTTCTGGATGGCGACGCATTCTTGAGGATCCTGAGGCCTCAAATAATGATCGCTTTGTCGCCCACACGCTCCTGCAGAATGCCTGTGTTGCTGCTGGTCGTGTCCTTCCAGCATGTCAGGATACGGGGACGGCGATTGTCCTCGGCAAACGTGGCGAACTCTGTTGGACGGGAGGAGAGGACGAAAAGCACCTTTCCAAGGGTATTTGGGACTGTTACATGAACCGGTATCTGCGTTACAGCCAGACAGCGGCGCTTGACATGTTTAAAGAGGTGAACACTGGAAATAACCTGCCGGCACAGTTTGACCTGTTGGCGACAGCTGGAAATGAGTATCACTTTCTCTTTATTGCAAAGGGTGGGGGCAGTGCAAATAAGGCCTTCCTTTACCAAGAGACCAAGGCACTGCTGAATCCCAAGTCTCTCAGGGAATTTATTGAGCAGAAGCTTAAGACCCTCGGCACGGCGGCGTGTCCCCCGTATCACATTGCTCTTGTCATTGGCGGCACAAGTGCGGAAATGACGATGAAGACGGTGAAGCTCGCCAGTTGTCGCTATTACGACTCTTTGCCCATAACTGGCAACAAGAATGGTCGTGCTTTCCGGGATCTTGAGTGGGAAGCAATCGTGATGGATATCGCCTGTAAATCTGGTATTGGAGCACAATTTGGGGGAAAATACTTTGCTCATCAAGCTCGTGTCATTCGTCTACCTCGCCATGGTGCGTCGTGCCCCGTTGGCTTGGGTGTCTCCTGCAGCGCGGACCGTCAGATTCTTGCAAAGATCACACCAAAGGGTGTATTCGTGGAGCGGCTGGTGCGGGACCCCGCACAATACCTGCCAGACTTACCACCCTCCTCTCTAAGCACGAACGTGGTGAATGTCGATCTGAACCAGCCGATGAGCGAGATTCGCAAGCTGCTCAGTCAGTACCCTGTTACCACCCGCCTCAGTCTTACTGGGACTCTCATTGTGGCGCGCGACATTGCCCATGCGAAGATCATGGAGCGTTTGAATAATAATGAAGAACTTCCTCAGTACATGAAGGATCACCCGGTGTACTACGCCGGCCCAGCGAAGACTCCAAAGGGAATGGCCTCCGGCTCCTTTGGGCCCACAACAGCAGGTCGTATGGACTCTTACATATGCCCCTTCATGGCCGCCGGTGGAAGCTTTGTCACGCTTGCAAAAGGGAACCGCTCAAAGGCGGTGACAGAGGCGTGCAAGAAGTACGGTGGCTTCTATCTTGGAAGCATTGGAGGATCCGCGGCTATCTTGGCGCAGAATAATATCAAGAACGTTGAGGTTGTGGAGTTCCCAGAGCTTGGGATGGAAGCGGTGTGGCGCATCGATGTGGTGGACTTTCCTGCCTTTATTGTCGTTGATGACAAGGGCAATGACTTTTTTTCCAAACTCCTTTGATGTTTTTATGCAAATATATACTTATATGTACACTTCTATATAAACATAAATCTCGCTCTTCTGTGGATGTAGAGAACGAAGAAATGGATTGGTTTCTGTGAGCTGGACGAAAATGAAAGGCCGGAAGTGAGTTGCGCAAACGCTGCTCGTACATGTCATTTTGTAATTTTCCAAAAGAAGAGGGAGTTGAGTGAAGACTATACACACACACACAAACACACGTATAAGCATTTGCACACGCGTGCAGGAAAATAAAATAAGTCTTGTTTCCTATCACCATCCATATGACTTTCTTTTCAGATTTCAGTGAAGGTAACAATGTAGAAATTAAAAAGAAACAAAAAAACGAGAAAAACGGGTGTTTGTGCGGGCACTCACACGCACAAAAAAGTGAAAGAGAGAAAGAGAGAGAGAGAGGGAGAGGAGAAGCGGGTGTGTGGCATTCCAAGGCGAGTGTTGAGTCCCCCCTTGTCAGGTGTGACACAACAGTCAGCAGACGCCCCGTCAGTCACACCCCGCTTGAGGTGAGGTTGAAAAGAAATAAGTGGCGGATTGGACAGGTGAGAACGAGAGAGAAGGGTGGTGGTGTTTTCGCCTCCTCGCGTGTATTTATAGCCCCGCTTCCCCCAGCATTACATTCACGCCTTTTTCTTTCTTATTAATTTTTCTCAGTTTTTTTTTTTTTTTTTTTTTTTTTTTTTTTTTGATTGGCGTGATGGGAGGGTAGGGGAGCGGGGGAGTTGAAGGCTCTTGCATCTTTTCTTGCCGCTTTGAGTTCATTTTGCGTCACCGCCGCCGCGCGCTGTGAGACCGGGTGTGTGCACGCGAGCCGTGTGGGATGATGACAGGCAAGACCACATCTTTTGGCGATGTGCCGAAGAAACCACAAAGGCGCATAATTTTCCCCGTTTATTTAATTTTTGGAGTTAAACTTCATTTATCTCCCGTATCATCTCTTTTTGTTGTTGTTTTTTCTGCGGCTAGGATCCTTGCCGAAGCACATTCAGGGGAATTAAGGCTCAGACGGGACTGCAGGAAGCACAAACACACCGACAAGGGCATAAATAAAAGCCATGCAGCCATCCATGTTGGCGCATGACGGGAAAAACGCGCCACGAAATTCCCTTTCATCGTCTTCTTCATTTAAGACCGTTTCGTCTTCCGCCTCTTTAGGCGATGACGTTGGAAGAATGGGCATGCTTTTTAAAACTGAGGCGCTGCAAACATTGTTTCAAGATGTGGAGCCCACGAATGAGCCCGTTGCGCCAAGGCAGCCGGGTGTCTTGCAGATTCAATATTCAAGGGCCTTTGACTACGTTATGGGCCTATATCGAACAATGAGCGCGAAATTTAGTGGCATTGGCTCCCCTTCGTCAGCGAGGTGGTTTCTTCTGACAGCATTCGTGCTATGCCAATGCAATGGACACTACACTGGGTGGAAGGACCGCCGTGACGTTGTCTTGGAATCCGCGCGCCTCCTAAGCTCAACGCGGGAGGATTTACTGGTGGAATGGGGGACTAAGGAAGAGAACTGTGCCGGGAACGGAGAACGTTTGGAGGAACTCATGCCCCTTGTGGAGAATTGGCTGCCGGCGGAGGCGGAACTAAAAGGGCCTACCGGATCGTTTAGCGAGTGGCGGGCGGTACGGTGGGAATTAAACGCCGTCAAGTGCTTTAACTTGAAAAATCATAAAAACTTCCAGGTGTGGCATCACCGAAAGGAACTGCTCCTAGAAGCCCTTGCACGTACCGATTCTCCGTCCCGCACGTCGGATCTCGCTTCCATGGGCCTTTTCGATAAATATCTAATTGAACATCATGACGTTCATTTCAGGGATATTGATGAGCGGTCTCTTTGCAATGAGGTATTAAATATGGACCATAAAAACTATCATGTGTGGTTGCATCGATCGTGGTTTGTGCACGCCTTTTATTTTCTTGTCCAGCCCCCATCGTGGACGGCGCTGTTGAATAACTACGCCGCAAGTGCCGACCAGCGTGAGAAGAGCACAGCACCTCTGCGACAATTTGTGGTGCAAGAACAGTGGGAAGAATACTGCCTGGAATCCAATATTCCTTCGTGCGGTTTGAAAGACGAGCTAGGGTATACTGCGGTACTCATAAGAGATGATAACCTCAACAACTCCGCGTGGTGTCACCGTTTCTACCTGTTTGACCACGATCTTATTGGTGTTTTGTTGCAAACGAGTTCACAGCACCAACCGAATGATGTGGAGAAGGTGTTGCGTGAGTTATGCCTTGATGAAATGCATTATGCGTTGCAGTGGTGTGTTTATGAGCCATGTAACGAGTCTTCATTTGTTCACGCCCGGGGTGTTGCGAACGTTCATCAATCCGCAGCACTTCGGCTTTATCTTTCCCGTGATGCAACAGGAGCATATCATAATTGCCTTGCTGACAAGGGACCGATTTCCTCCATGGAACCTTTACCCTCGCATTACATGTGCTTGAAGGAAAAAGTGCCATGGGATGTGTTTCTAGCAACATTTTCCCTCATGCAGCAGCAACTTTGTGTGCTGAGGGAAAATGTCGCTCCGCGTGCCGAAGAACTCCGCAGCAGGGCGTCTGCGTCAGACAATGCAACGGTGCGGATGCTTCACAATTGTCGTTCCCAGTTTTTACTTGACAATGTGTACCAGGTGTATGCAGCGCTGTATCACGGCCTATTCGTGTTGCTCGAGCACCTCTGGCGTTGTTACTTCACAGAGGCGGAGAGAAGATGGGTGAATGAGGTGCTGCCGCCCGAGACGTACGCAGAGGGGACCGAAGCAGCGGTCGGAGTAATAAAGACGCAGCAGCTGGAATATTGCGTCCGATTTTTCTTGGAGCATGAAGTGCAGGCGATGGAGCTGGCGCGGCGCCTGGTGGTAGAAGATTCCATCCGGTCAAAGTACTGGAAGAATGAAATAAAGATTGTCATGCATAGGGACTACATCTAACTGTGTCCCAATAAACGAAGAAGTTGAGAGAAAAAGAAGATGGAAATGTGAGAGAGAGGGAGAAAGAAACGGTGAAAAGAGTAATGAATGAACCATCCTCCTTAACAGAAGCCGATGAAAATTTTATATACATATAACACATTTAAAAATAGTGCGCGCGACTGTGAGGGTGAAGGGAGGTGGTAGAAGAATGATGCCTTGCAAGTGCATTTGTGTTGCATACCGTTTGATGTTCTTTTTTTATTCGTGATGCCTTGCCTCTGAAACTTTGAGGTCAAAACGCACGTTATCTGCCCCTGATGTCAAAAGCTTGTAACGCACAAGGGCACATCGCTGTTTCGCAGAAAGAAGAGGTAGGGGGAAAGGAAGCAAGGAAGGAAGAAGTGGTGTAACCGTGGTGAAGAAATGTTGACAGATAACCAGAATTGCCTTGAGATGGAACGGTCCGATAAAAGGGTGACTGTGGCTCTCATAAATACAAGGAGTGGAGAACGAACGGCGGCGGAGTTTGTCCGTAAGCAAATGGAGACACACCTTGGTGAGGAGAATGTCTTTTACCTTTTTCCCTCGGGCAAACCCGCAATCGCGGAGGCGAAGAAGTTCCTGGAACGCCACAATCCCGCAGTCGTCATCGTGGCGGGCGGCGACGGCACCGTCTCATTGGCGCTGGACATCACGGACGGCCTCCGCAGGACTAATATGCTCTCCGCCACATCCGCGTATGTGGCCGTTTTGCCCATGGGCACTGGAAACGACCTGAGCCGGACGCTTGGCTTTGGCGGCGGCTACGTGAAGCCTCTGCTGAATCCCGAGAAGAAGTTTAAACGCCTTTTGGATCGCTTGGCGCATGCGAAAGGAATAAAAATGGACAGATGGTCGGTCCAAATTCAAAAGAAATCCACCTTGACAGTAGCCAGCACGGGCGAAGATGCGCACGCAGGAGATAGTAGCAGAACTTATGGCGTTGATGATGTCCACGTGGTGGAGAAAACAATGATGAATTACTTTTCAATCGGCTTTGATGCGACCATTGTCAGGCAATTCAACGATTTCCGCAATGATCACCCAACGATGTGCTCTCAGCGTTCCCTCAATAAGTTGTGGTACGGCTGTTTTGGGTGTGGATCTATGTGTAACTCAGTCGCATTGCCAAGGAAGCAGATGAAATTAACTGTGGACGATAAGTGTGTTGCGATTCCTCCGGGTACAAAAGCTCTTCTTGTTACAAATGTAAAAACATACGCCGGGGGTGCAGTTCTTTGGAAAGACAATAGGTGCCGTTTTGCTAAACCGGACGTTGGTGATGGGTTGCTGGAAGTCACGGCGCTATACGGTGTGTGGCACTTTGCAGGAGTGCGAATGGGCATACGGAAGGCGATGAAAGTTGCCCAGGGGAATTGTATACGCATTGAGACCCCTGCATACTTCGCGATGCAATTGGATGGGGAACCCGTGGATGAATTGGCCTGCGGTGAGGAAATGATTGATGTGTCCATCACATTCTTCTCCAGAACACTGGTCATGACGTGTGAGGGCTCATAACACGGAAAACGATAAGAAAGGCAATAATGGGGAACAGTTTGTTACAAGACTGGAAAGACGAGCTGCAGTCATTGCCGTCGTTTCCGAGTGATGTTTGCAATACGGGCTGTGAATGGATTCATAAACGCTTTTATACACAAAATTATAGCCATGCTTTTTTATTATTATTACTATTTTTCATTTTTTTTTTTTTTTTTTTTTTTTTTTTTTCTTAAGGGGTCTGTTGCTTGTTATGTGTGGAGAGTTTTTGAAAAAGAAAGGATGAAAGAACAATCATTATGGCGACCTTTTTTTTTTTTTTTTTTTTTTTTTTTACCTCTCTTTTTTTTCCTTCCTGGGCATGTTTGTCTCGTTCGAACTTCAACTTTATTGTTACCCTTCTCTCCTCTTCCTTTTCTTAACCCTCTCTGTCTGACAGACACCGTGCAGGAAGAGAAAGTGCGCCTTTTAGTCTGCGTACGGGAGACTTGTCAAAGCCGCTGGCGTCGCACCGCGAATCACCACGTTCAGTCCTCTGGAACCACAACCAATACACCTCTGCCATATGATGTCTTAACACAAACACACGCATCTATTTTTCTGAAGCAATTCGATGAAACATGTTTGCTTTCAACCTGCTGATTCACAGCAAAACCCACAATCTCTCTCAGTTTTATGCTTTAATCCTCGGAATGCTGTTTTTGCTTTTGTTTGCGTGCTCACCCCACACTCTTCGCCTCCATTCTTGTATCTTGTCCCGGACCAGTTGGTCGTTATTTTTGTTGTTGGTTTTCCTTTTTCCTTCCAGATGGCTCACGGGAAGCCACTTGAATGAGTTCGGTGTAGGGCTTTTGTGGAATTGCATGTTGTTGTTGTTGTTGTTGTTGTTTGGCCTCGAGTGAGTGAAGTGGCTGGGAATTACATGCGGCCTTGCTTTTCGTGTTGGGTCTCTTCTTCTGTGGCTGCAAGGGAAGAAGACTGTGCTAGCAGCACTAATAGGGGAGTCGCTGGATAAAAATGCTGCAACGGAAGTTGTTGGCCGCTTTCCGTGCGAAACTTCCGCCTCGATCCGAGAAATCCGGCCCGCTGTCATCTCATCCGGGTAAAATCAACACCACCAATCCCGCGGCCCCACCAACGCCAGCGCAGTGGAACGCTTCTGCCGGCCCCATGACTACGCCGTACGGCGCACAAATTGATCACTACATTCGAGATCTTGAAGCACATTTCAAAAACTCCAGCGAAGCCATGCTAGACGCGCGAAAAGCTATCGAGGGAATTCTCACCGAGCAGGCGAAGGCGCGGCAGGAACACTGCCGAGAATACGTGCTGACGTTTGTCCCATTAGTTTTTACCCTCATACTGTTTTTGCGGGAGCAAATTAATCGAAGTTGTGCTGAGCAGACGCATTTATTTTTGAAGGAGCACGCGGATAAATGCAGCTCCCTGAAGCGAGTGGTGCTCTGATGAACTCCCACATAAAAGGAGGTTGGATGCTTTGGCAAAGATTGCTCTTGGGGGGAGGCTGGCAGAACAGAAGCACACGGAGTTGCGTGGTAAGTAACGCCCTCTCACTGTTTTTTTGCTGGCAGGGCTTTGGAAGGTCTCGATACAGTCCAGGAAAAAAGGGGAGAATGCCTTCTCTATGTCCACATGTTTTTTTGTTTCTTGTTTTTGTTGTTTTGCTCGCTAATTTTATTGGACGCTGTGCAAATAAACATGCCGCATTTCTTCTTAAATTCTTTTTCGTCTTTCTTTCCTTTTCCTTTGGACCTTTGCTGCTGCTTTCTTTCAGTGTATTATTTCGGGAGAAGGGGAAGGGGAGAAATTGTTTTGAAGGAGGATTACGCCTGACCTTTTGATGTTGGCTCCAACCGTCACTAGGGAAGCGTGCCAACCGATTATTAACGCCTTTCGATGTGCTGCGGAGAAGGGACAGACGCAGACCGACGTGGATGCCGAGTCGTGGGGTCGTGAGGTGACCCGCATTAACGCGGAGGCACAGAAAGCATGGAGCGAGCAGAGAAAACCTTTTATACCAGCCATGTATTTGCGACGGCGCGACCCCGCTGCTGAAGAGGCTCTTCGACTTTTACGGGTCACAAGCAAAGCATTTGAGCTCAATCTGCGCTTTAGGGAAATAGAAAAACTGGATGAGATGCATGCCAAATTGTGGGCGCTTCTTAGTGCTGATAAAACACGTCTAACGATAACCATCATAGAGTACATGGAAATTTTGAAGAAGTTTAAGGCGTGGCAAGAAGAACGTTTCGAGGGAACTCCGAAGGCCTCACCGCAGAGAGAGGCTTCTGTACAATCATCACAAGAATGTTTGGATGACACAACGCCGTTAGGGAGTGTCGTGTACTTGGCATCCGTGATGCAGCCACGGCCATCGCTACAACTTTATCTGTCATGCCCCCGTTCTCCTGCAGGTGGCGTGGAGGTGGTGCACATTTACCAGCGTTTTGCCAAGCAGGTGTCCCTCGTAAAGTGTGAGGCAGAATTGATCATGTGGGACACCAACAATGATGGATGCTTAACCGAAGATGAAATGGAAAGTTATGTGCGTGACTTGGTCCCGCGGATCGAAGCATTGCGAGATATCACCGAGGATATCCTGCCCTTCTACTGCTGCACAGTAAGTCGGCGCATCTTTTGGGTATTGGATCCAGGGTCGAGAGGTGCCATTCGCATCGATATGTTGTTGCAAAACCCGGTGATGGATGAGTGGGTGAGTCTGCAACTGATGCGGGAAGACCAGCCGCGGAACTGGTTCAGTGCCGCCATCACGTCACATTTATACGACAAGTTTCTTTTGTTGGACACTCGTAACCGGGGAACCCTCAATGCGGATGACATGAAGCGGTACAAAAAGGGCCTTCCAACCGTGATGGATGACGGCCTCCCACCGGGCGTTGGGCCGCTCTCGTCGCTTTTCATTGACCGCTTCTTTGAGACGAATGTGATGATGGCGAACTCAGAGCTGGATTTCCGAAAATTTGTAGATTTTGTGGTGGCGGTGGAGTTTCTTCCATCATGTCAGCGGCCGCTTTTTTTCTGGAATATCCTAGACATTGAGGGGTGTGGTTACTTGAAACCCGTGCATGTGAACTACTTCTTTAGAGAAACACACACGAAACTGGTGGCAGCGGGACTTGAGGTGCCCTCACGGGAAACAGTCGTGCAGGAGGCATTTGATCTCATCTCCACGGCAGAGCCGCTTTGCATATCTCGTGAAGAATTCATAAATGCCCCACAGGCGGGTCTCTTTGTTGCTCTTCTTGTTGATTGTCTTTCCTTCTGGACGTATGAAAATCGAGAGCAACGCTAACTTTTATGCAACCACGTTGTTGTTGTTGTTGTCGTCTGGGTTGTTGATTTGTTCATTTTTATTTTATTTTTGTGTGCCTGTGTGTGTTTGGATCTTTGCTTTTTTGGCATTTCCACTCCAAAGTTCTGCTTTTGCTGCGGCCCTCGCGTACGGTGATGTTTTTTTTTTTTTTGTTGTTGTTGTTGTTTCTATTGCTGTGCCCCTCTATGTTTTTTTTTTCCTCCTTTTTTTTTTCTTTCCCGGCGAAGTGAGATACGTCTTGTATTTCAGTGCGTGTTATGACAAACTCCTCTGCCCTCCCCGACCTTTTTTTTCCTTCTTCATATATAGAACGTGATAAGTCAGTTTGCTCAATTTGACTGACGACGAAGTGGCTATTTTGATGGCAAGGCCTTTATTCTGGTGCACTTCTTGCGCTCTTCAGTACGCATGGCACATTGAGGGGGCCTGAGATAACCCGCCGTTCTTCGGTTATATACCCCGTCATTTTCTAACATATGCCGATGTTCTTTTTTTTTTTTTTTTTCTTGCATGTATCTTCTGATTGTTGTTGTTGTTGTTGTTGTTTTTTAGGTCCATTTGGGGGTCTTTTATTTTTTATTTTATTGTCTGTTTTTTATTTATTTTCTGTTGTTGTTTCCCCCTTTGTGAGGTTAGCACCGTGCTTCAGGGAGTCAAAATAACGATGGATTTTGTGGAGGTGGCGCCAGAGGCTATTTGTTCTACCAGCCATTCCAGATTCCAGAGCCTACCGTACGATGTATTGATGCTGTGCGCGGAGTACACACCTGTGCGGGAGGTGCTGATACTTGGCACTCTGAACCATTTTTTCCATGAGTTCACCGCGCCTGACAACGTTGCCTTGTGGACAATCTTTACGGAACGAGTGTACTTGTTGCGCCCACCGGGGTTGAGGCGCATGCTGTTTAATGAGTCTCTTCTGAAAACGTACACAGCCGTGCATTCCATAAGTCGTTCGAATATGAAATCATGGGGTGGAATGACCATCAACGACGTTGAAGATGACGATGGAAACAGCAATAGTGAGAAGGAAGATGAAGATGTTGATGATGAGATTGTTATCAACCGGCATCGGCATTCAGCGCCCTCACTTGAGGGTTCTAGGAGAATTATTTCTCAGCCAGAGCTTATACAATGGGTAATAGATCATTCTGAAGAAGTTCTTCTTGACCTGCGGATGTTTTGTGACATAATCAAGGGCAGGGAGCCACGATTTGCGCTCACCGGACTTTTGATGGCCCTGCAGTTTGTCAAGAGGCGCATGTGGTACACGGAAGTCACAGATTTGGAATCTGTGCGGGACCTTTTGCGCTCGACAATTGTGGAGGAGGAACACGACCCGGGCTGGTCCGTTCTGCGCACCATAGCTGGGCGAGGTCGAACAATGCCAAAGCGATTTCGCGTGTCGGTTTCGGTATGTATGCAGACAGACGACATGGCGGAATTAAGTGCACAGCGTCAAATGTCCAAACTGAGGTGGAAGCGGTGTGCCGCCGTGGCTCGTGAGTATCTGAAGCTGCGAGAGGTTCTTCGCGTTATATTGGCCGTGTCGGAGGTTTCTGATCACCCCAATGCTCAGCAACGGTACGACAGTGTGTGGTCGGCTCTTCGCGGTACCACCGCCATGCTCAATGCGGAGAAGGTACCACAACACAATCAGTTAGCCGATTTGGACGAGTTAGGAGCGGCGATCCCCATGAGTGCATCTGGTGAGGAGTTACTGCAACAAATCCGTGATTTAAGTAAGGCGACGGTGGGAGGCATTGTAAGCTATTTTTTTGCCTATGTCATTGGCAAAGTTGAGCGCAAGGCATTTTTGTCGGCGTTGTTTAGCATGCAGCACCTGGCGGGTGCCGAGGGGTATAACGGTGTGCCATTTTGGTGAGCTGTTATTTGTGTTTCACTGCTGTTCTTTTCATGGTACTCCTTTCTGAGGCATTTTCCCAAGTCTTTTTCTGTTTTTTTGTATTTCTTTGAATATTTCCAGATTTCATTCTTGTTATGGATCGGATTTTTGTCGGTGAGTCATGCCTCTCCATTGCTGCTTTGGCGCCCAATGCGTTGTGATGAGCCGATTTTTTGGATATATATAAATACACGTCTGTTTTAACCGTTTCCACCCACAGCCCCCTTTCTTCCTTGTTCTTTTTTTTTTTATAGTTACACCAAGGGGGAGGACTGTGGATGCTCGCAAGATGAGGGAGCCATACGTACCTTTCAGGGCAGTGAGTACCGCTTGGCAAGTCCTTCCAAAACATGTGGAATTTCTTCGAGTGCCGCGTGTTGTGGAGAATCGCTGTGAATTGGAGGCGCGAGTAATGCCGCTGTTTGGCACCACCATGCATTGTGAAGCGACCCATGTCTTGCCCCACTCGATACAGACATCTGGAAAGCGATCGGCCGGCGACTGCACGAAAGAGGCTGCATCAACCATCAGTGTTGAGACCACCGCGGGAATCATGATTGATGTTCCAGTTTTTTCCACAAGCACGTCTAAATCCGTGCACTTTACTGATATTAATGGATCACATGGGGAGAAACCGTTTGCTGACATCTCCTCAGTATGCTCGCATGATAACACATTTCTGCGCGATCTGGACACAGGGGAGCTGCTTCTGCCGCAGCCAGAGTCGCCTGCTTTTGTTGGAAGCAAAACCGGTGTGCGTCACGCGCTTCGCAGGCGGCGCAAGAGGCTTGTGGTACTGGGTGATAGGCGAGGTCGGTACCAACTTGTCGCAGTGGCGATTAGGAGGGCGGCTGACCAGCGAAGTGTCGTTGGTGGGCAAAAAGATGGTCGCTGAAGTGCCTCTATTTTTCTTCTTAAGAGCATCGTTGGAAAAACCATGAGGCGAGTTGGCAGGAAAAAATAAACATTTAAAAAAAGAAAGCTTTTTTGTTGTTGTTGTTGTTGTTTGGTTGATGAAAGCAGTTTGTTGGGACAAGACGTGGGGGGATACTTCTCGTGGTGTTGGTTTGGCCAAATGATTTTTTTATTGTCCTTTTTTCTGTTTTTTTTTGATTAGTGGCTTCAGTAGCGGAAAGGGCGTCTTTCACTTTTTCTCTGATTGCGTTTCTGCGTACGTTGGGCCCTCCAATAATATCGGCAAGGTGGGGAGGACGAGGTGTCCGCCAGCGTCCTCCCTTTTTTACCGCAGCCCCTGCCTCTCTGTTGCTTCGCGTTGCTGAGAATGGACGCGGCGTGGCAAAAGAATCCCCTGTTCCGGCTTCTGGCCTTTTTGGATATTGTTGGTTTGCAGCCCTTTTCGGCCCGGAGCAACCTCACCCGTGACGGGGACTTCCTCGATGTGGAGCGATGCTTTCACACCGGCAGCGTCATCCAAGACATCTTGTCTAGTGGGGTTCGTGCTCTCCGTGCCAACATCATGCGTCTCTTCCTGGATGAAGAAGAGCGGGTCCAAATGTTGCGGCTAGTGGAAGACTCGGCGGCATTTATTAAGAGTGTAATTGCACCGTCCTCACTTACTGCGTTCGTTGAGGCCGTGGAGAGTGATCTGCCAGCGTGGGCCCTTTTGCGTATTAAAGAGACGTTTGGTCTAACGGACAGTGCCACGACGGTGTCGGAGCAGTTTCTTATCGATGCTCTTGATCATTGGATGAGTCAAAGAACTCCGAGGGAAAATGATGCTCTGGTGCTGGCATGTGGGGTGCAGCCGGCATTGCTGGAGTCTGCGCGTGCCAGAGGGGATGAACTTCCACATGCCGTTGAGGACTTCATCATCGACGTTGTGTTTCCACCTCCGTCTTTGGATGAGGGGGAGAAGAAGGGGAAGGACAGGGTGCTTGATTGGCTGATCGCCTCCTACGAAAAGTGTTATGAGGCGATTGATGTTGACGAGGAGGAGGAGGAGGAGGCGGGAGAGGACACGTCCCCGGGCGAATCTCCCGAAAAGAAGATGCGGCTGGAAGAAGACGGGAGGGAACTTCTCACGGCGGAGAATCTTGACTGGTTTATGCGTGAGCGGCCCTCGGCCGTTCCGAGGGCAGTCCTGCGTGAGCGGCGACGGCCCCTCGACGACCCTGCAATCACGGAGTTTGAGCTGCAAAACCACTACACCGCGAATGAGCTCTCGGTTTTTGTAAAGGAGGAATTAGGGAGACGGCAAAGACTAAAGAAGGCGGATTGTGTCCGTGCCATTCTTAGGTATCACAAGCCAAAAACAGAGACATTGCGCCGTGAAGAGGCAAAGGAATTGCTTCCCAAAAACAACAGCAAGAAAAGTTGATGGACACGTAGAGAATAATGGAACGTCACGTGATATTTTCTCCATTTTTTTCTCTTTTTTTTTTTTTTTTTTTTTTTTTTTTTATTCCACTCAACTATTTATGATAAAGCTGGGAAAGAGCCTCTGTTTTTGTAATTTTTGTGTGTTTGTTTGTCTCTGAATCTCCTTTCTACACGGGGCTTTGTGTGCTCTTTTTTTGCTTTGGTGGTTAGCGCCGTGACAAGTGGACATTATTTTCTGCGAGAAAATGTTTGAAGGGCGTGGAAAGAATTGAGAAGTTCACTTTGTGTCTTCTAAGCCTCACGCCTTTTGATCATTGAATATTATTTATTATTATTATTATTATTATTCTTCCGGTCGAACCACCAATTCGAGGGGTGGGAATGAGGGGAAGGCATGAAGATTTCATGGAGATTTTTCGTTGGTTTTGTATCCCTTTTGTCTTTATTGTTGCCCTTCCCCAATCATCTTCTTGTTGGTTTTTTTTTTTGAATATGACGGGCGGGGAAGCGTTTGGATTGACTTTTCAAAGGGCATATTTATTTATTTAATAGAGAAGAAGGAACAACAAGGGCGTGTGGTTTTGTGATGCGCCTTCATGTTTAAAAGGTTTAATTTTACTCGATTTCGTTGCCCTACGAGGGTGTTCTTATCGCCTAAAAATGACGCCGCTTCCAAGACGCCGAGCCTTGAGAGCTTGGAGATTGCAATCCGTGACTTCACGCAGTCTGGCAGTTATCAGGACACGGGTAAACTGAAATCACTGCTGGATGAGCTCGTTCAGTGTGATGATCCACGCAAGGTGCGCCTATGCAAGGAGGCATGCCGTCTAGCCCACACAGCCGGCTACCATGCACGGTGTGCGGAGCTTTTTTTTAGTTGCCGTACGTTGGCGCCGCTTCCGTTGAGTGAAACTGTCATCAATGCCGCGGCATTCACGACGAGGCCGGAATACCTGCAGAAGTGTTTATCCGCTCTTGATAATGCTGATTTGAGCCAGGGCGCTTCAACACGTGGAATGCCCCCTTTTTTGCTGCTGCTGCTCCGTATCTATTGGCAAAGCACGCGGTGTTTTGTGCGAATCGAACATTCCCGTCCTCGTGCGAGGAGTATCAAGAACGAGGAGGTGGTAGTGATTTTGGATGCGATTGGGACGAACCGAGCGGAAAATTTGGCGCTTCTGGCGCAATACCGTGCCATCTGTGAAGAAGCGTTTCTTCTGCTTCACCTACCAGGGGAGGTTTCGTTTGATAGTTGGTGGTCAAATTCCAAACGTTTGGTGTTGTATCACGCAGAAGATGAGGGCGAAGCTGACGTATACGCGCAGCTCTTCTCATGGTGGGAGCGTTACCTTGGCGCCAAGTCGAGCGAGTGGTTTACGCCAATGTGCCTCGTGTGTATGATGCGCTCGTGTGTCAAGGCAGAACGTTGGGACTTCGCCATTCGATATGCGGCGTTGGCGGAAACTTACTTTTTATCGGAAAACAACTCACCAGATGATCTGCTTTTGCAGCAAACACTTATTTTTTTTGGTGCATCGATGCAAAGTACACGGGGAGCTGTGTTGATTAGGCGTATTCGTCATCGTTTTCCCGAATACACCCCTTCCATCCCCGTAGTGCACAGTGCGGTGCGAGTGGCGGGGGACGTAGCGGACGAAGAGCTGGCGGTGTGGTGTCTTCAGGCGTTACTCAGCGAGATACAGCCCATCCCACCGTCGTCGCAGGACATATTCCCTTGCCTTATTGCCCTTGCCAAGTGTAGAGCGACGAACTTCAAGAAGCTGCTTCATGCGCTGGAAGAATCTGGCATCATCCAACTGACAGGAGAGGAACGCCTGCATCTGGATTTACTGTTTATTCGGCACAGTGTGTTCTGTAAGGAAGAATTGGGCGAACGGATGGAGAACTACCTTGCACCTGTCACGGGAAGCAGTAGCTCTGCTGAGTTCTCAGTGCGGAATGTCAATCTGCTTCTTTACATACTGCAGGAATGTGAGCACCCCGGGTTCATGAATTACTACACCGTTTTGGGGAGGGAATTCCATAGTCGAGAAACGTTACTCGTGAAGGCGCAGTGGGTGGCGATTGCACTGAAATGGGCCATGTCGCAACCGGCGCTGGAGCACAGTGAATACAAACTTCTTGTGAAGGAGGCCCACGCTCTGCTTGACGCCGCGGTCGATGGTTCAAGCCCGGTTTCGCTTAGCCACAATCTGAAGTCCAAACTTCGCACACGGCTTGGTGTGGTGGAACAACTGTGGGGAAAAGGGAAAAGGAGCGAAGAGGAAACTGCGGGGCCAAACAATATGGGCGACATATCGCTTGCGCGGTTCTTGCGGCACCGTCATCTTCTTCCCCGAGTCCGCCCTCCGGAAGTGGGAGATGATGCCTTTCAAAGGATCAAACTTTGGCGTGTTTCTGACGTTCTGGCTTCGCTTTCACAACGAGATTGGAGAGAAGTCATCCAGCAACGCCGTTGAGTTCCGATGAAAGGGTACAGTACCTTTTGATTTTTTTGCTGTTGTTTGCCTCTTAGTGCGTGCCGTTTAATTAAAATTGGAATGAGCCTTGACGTCTTCTGATTCCTTCTCTTTTCCTCTCTTTTTCACTCTTTTTCTCTCCCGCATCCCGCCTGTTTTCGTTTGTCGGCCCTTTTTTTTTTTTTTTTTTTTTTGATGGCGCTGGTAGTGTGAAAGGCAAGAGATATCAAATGGGGTTTCATCATAGCAAGTCTTTGTCAAGCTCTACTTGCTTCGATGCGGTTATTAGAGCACGGCCCAAAATGACACCGGAGGACATTCCTTCATTACAACTTATTCCACATTCCGTGTACGCCTCGTTGTCGCTTCATGTCTATGGCAACCCCGATGCCCCACCAATTCCGAGTCCGTGGGAAGTCCTTCTTACGGCAACGAATGTAAACTTGGATAAAGAAGGGTACTTTGGCATAGCGTACATCAATAAAGAGTTGCGTCACTGCATTATCGCCCAGCGGGGAACAACAAATGCGCTAAGCCTACGAGCAGGTGTTTGGACTTACTTTGGTGAACGAAATATTCTGTTTAGCTTGGCGCGGCAGTTTTCAAAACAAGTCCGTTTATACCTAAGTGTCACACGGGGGGAAACACCAGAGTGGTTTATCAGTTACACTGGCCACAGCCTGGGCGCCGTTCTTGCGGCATGTCGTTCCGTAGAAGAACGCACGTACGCCATCACATTTGAGTCGCCGGGGTGTAAAACATTCATTGAGAAAACAATGAGCCCATTGAAAGCGGAGGACGCCAACATCATCACTTACCTCCGCTCCCCAAACCCAATCAACTCCCTTCGGCCCCAGTGTGGGTATGTCGTGCAGATACCCTTGGAATCTGAGCAAAGTAATTTGTTGCAACCTCGAACAGTGCCTTCCTCCATACTGCGTCTCCCTTCTATTCCTTCCCCACAGGAGTTTATAAGAGGACAAGTACCTCGTGTTGTCGGGATACCGGACATACAGCAATACGTTGGCAAAATTGAGCCACTTCTTCGTGAAATGTTGGAACACACGCAGCAGGTGCATGCCATGGTAAGCATTTTTACTCACTTTAAGGACGATGATGAACCCTCCAACGAGCAGGTCGTGTTGCGTTGGCCGTCCACTTTGATGCAATTTTTGGAATATTACAATGCAAAAAAGGCCTTGGAGGATCCTGTTAACAGAAAAACGAACCTTAGTGCTGCCTATGAGTCATTGATGCGGGACCTGTACGTCACGGCGGAACGACCCAAGAATAGCTTGCCTCTTCGATTCCTTGATGGGGACTCAATAAGACTTCTTCGTTTATGGTGGCAAGAAACACCTACAAGGCTGGCGAAACTGCCGCTCACATTGATGGATCATAAAGTACTCAACACCATCACCATTGAAGATGAGTGTATGTGTACCTCTGTTCTTACCGCTTTTCAGGCGAAACAATATCTTTCACTTCTTGTTTTCAGGCCTGAGATACACAAGTTAATTACTCAGTTGGAGTTCGATCCTCTACTGGGAAGCCGAAGCAAGCTTTGACGGGGTGGGTGAGGAAAAATATGGAGAAAGAAGACGAAAAGAACAAACAAAAAAAAAGAAAAAAAAATTAGTCCGTGTTTGGTTTAGTGTCGTGTGGACATATACAGTGCGTGTATACAGAAACTTGGACTTGTAATATTTTTTTTCTGTGTGTGTACGTTTGTCAATCGCAGGAATGGGGCCAAATTAAAAACAACAGCGAGGCGGGGGAAGATGGGGATCTTGTTTACCCCGGGGCGTTTGTCTATTTGTCGCCAATTCACATTCCCTTTCCTCTTATTCTGTATGGCATTCTGTGTACTGTGTGTTCTTTCAATTGGAATATTATTATTTCAGCGCCATCCGCACTCCCTTTTTTTTTTTTTTTTTTTTTTTTTCTGAGTGCATTTTGGCGAGTGAGAGGTGATGGATACGGGTGGCGGATTTTGCTTTCAAGATATCTCCGGCCTGGCGGAGTTGTTGGAAAAAAATGATGGTTTCAAGCGGCCTGAGGGACAAAAAGTGGGGTACAGCTTGCAAGAGGCAAATGCGGCGGGGGACGCTTCCTGCGGCGCCACGGCCGGTGCGTCGATGAAGGTAAACCCGTCAAGCATTCCTTTGCCTCCCACAGTCGTGGATCGGCAATTGCGCCTCCCCATTCCATCAGAGACCCGTGAAGCTAAAGAACTAGAGATAAAGAAGCGTCAGAAGTCAAAACCGAAAGGTTATGCCATTTGGACAGCGGAGGAACTTTTTGCTGCATTTCGTGCGCGTCATGACGCTACTGTGAAGCCAAAAGAAGGCGCAGAGCAACCAGAACACTCCATTGTGCATCAGGAAATTGTTACTGCTGAGGACGTTTACCTTGGGATAGACGCGAAAAGGGTCACTGGAGGACCATCTGGTCTTCTTGTGAAAATTGTCATGCCCAAGCTGGAGAGAATTGCCGATTTAGCCATTGCAGTTGATCCATATGAACTTCGTGTTTCCTCTTCAAAGTACTACCTGCGAGCTGCTCTGCCGCAGAAGGTGATTGCCGGAAAGGCGGATGCAAAGTGGGATAGCATCAATAAAACGCTGAATGTCTCCTTGAGTGTGGATGATTCGGAACGGCTTGTATAGACCCGCTTCACCCCATCTATCCCTCTCCGTATTGGTCTGATCGTGCCATGTTTGGTTTGTCCTTATTGCCGCGGACAAGTTTTTTTTTTCCACACCCCAGAAACACATTTTGTTGGTTGAGGGCTGAAAAGGAGAAGTTTTCAAGAGGAAAGGCATGAAAGGGCGGCAATGAGCAGTGTATATATGTATATATAGAGAGAGAAAGAGAAATGTGTCACAGAATTTTCATCCGCAAGGCCAAATCTATTGCAGTAGAGATGTTTTTTTTTTTTTTTTTTCGTGTGAGTGTGTGTGTGTGGAGGTGCTGTTATTTTCCTTTTCTTCTCTCTATTGGATGTGCCTTTTTTTTTTTCCTCCTTGTTTGGGGTTGACCCTCATTCCTTGCATTTCGCCTCTTGGACGCCTTGCGCGCCATTGCTGGACAGGGTGACGTGAGGAGGGGGAAACAAAAAAAAAAAAAGGCGGGCCGTGCTCCATTCTGAAGCCACGATGGACTACACAGACATCTATTTGCGGCAGAGAAGGAACGAAAACACCGCACCGCAGACACAGTTGAGTTCGGCAGGGGTGAAGGCGGCCACAGAACAGCGCGTGGAGCGCGTACTGAAGGGTGCCTTTTCGGTCCAAGAGCTCGTGGATCGAATAGAAGGACTTTCCACCCGCGTCGATGCGTTTGATGAAAAAATAGTGAATCTGACAAGGCTGGTGAAATTTGCCCAAGGCCTGCAAGAAGATAAAGAGGGAGATCTTCGGCGTCAACAACACGAATTGCGTTCCCGAATAAAACGACAGGAACAAATAACAGCCCAACTGCAGGAAGAAATTGCCATTTTGAAGGAGAAAGTTCCTTCTGCGATACGGGAGACGGTTAAAGAAGCTCAACAAGAAAACAGAAATGAGATGATAAAGGTACGTAAGGAAAGTGAGGAACAGCTGTATCAGCTAAAAATAGATCTCGAAGAAGCTGTAAAGACCGTTCAGAAAGATTTGGAGCAGAAAGTGATAACTGTGCAAAGGGAGATTACCACATCTGCTTCTTCTCAAAAGGAGACTCAAAATGGACTAAGTGAACAGCTGTCTCTTTTAGAAGAAGCAGTGCGGAGGCTTGAGGCATCCAGAGTGACCACTGAATCTACCCGCCTTGATTCTGTGGAGGCGACCGTGCGGCAGATGTCGGATATGTTGGATTCTCTGCAGCCCAAAGCCGCCGCCACTTCCAGAGCTTTGGAAGTGCTCGGGGAAGAACGGCAACGCACACATGACGCCATTATGAATGAGATTGAGAGCACGAGAGAATGGACAACACGAAATCTTCAACGCGTCAAGCAACATGTCGAAACAATTTCCACAGACGTCGTGCGACTCCGACACGAACAAGCGGATGTCGCGGCGCGGCTTAATAGTGTGAGTTGCCAGGCCGATGTAGAATACAAGAAACTTAGAACCCTGTTGCAGCTGAAGTCACGGGAAGCGGACGCCCTTGGAAGCCTCGTGGGGAAAGAGCTCGGAAGAGTGGAGGACATGAACCAGCGGCACCAAGGGCTAAGAACGGAACCCGGCGCCCTGAAAGGCATGGCGTTTTAGAGAATAATAACGGCGGATTTCCGTTCGTTTTGTTTTGTTTTTTTAGCCAAATTGGAAGGGAATAGGGGTTGCCCCTCTTGAAACTTTGATGCGCGTGCGAGGATTCTCACTGAGTTGCGCGGTGGCGTTGATATTTTGCCGCTTTTTTGTTTTTGTCTTTTTTTTCTTTTGTGCGCTTTTCGGTCATGAAGTTGGAAAAGTGAAGTTGGCATCTGGATTCCCACTCCCACTCCCAGCGAGATCCACGGAGTCACCATACCCAAGTGGTTACGGGGACTGACTCGAAATCAGTTGCGATCTCGCGCGCAGGTTCGAATCCTGCTGGTGACGGTTTTTTTTCCTTTCCAACCATTGAGCCTTTATTGAACACCGCGACGTCAATGGAGGGCAAGATGGCCGAGTGGTCTAAGGCGGGAGACTCAAGTTCTCTTCTATTCGTAGGCGTGGGTTCGAACCCCACTCTTGTCACTTTTTTCGCAATCGACAGCGCAGCGGGATATTTATTCTGGGCGCGTCACGTCCACAAATATGACACAATTGGCATCACAACAATCGCTGTTGTTGCGTGCAAATGCGGGCGCAAAATTAAGAAAGCGGGATGCTGGGCCCGCTTGTTATCATGGTCTGCATCCGGAATGCCTGCAGTAGGGCCCTGCCAAAATCCTTAAAGCAATCTGCGGGAACCCGATCTATATCCAGTGCTCGTGTCCACGATAACAGACTGCCAAAGGCAATTTGAGCCTGAGCATCCGCCTGGTGCCAATAATAACTGTATGCGCTCAGAAGGTCGGCGATGACTCCGGAGATGCCCTCATTCCATATGCGCGGGGCCCGGGTGGCGACGCCGAACGCAATGAAATGCAGTACCTGATCCACCATACCGGAATGCGCATCCAAGGAGGAGGTGCGGGAAGGCATATTCGTCAAGTGGGAAAGATGTGGTCTCCCCAAATTTGCCCTGAGACGCTTGGGTGTTAAACCGCCTCCTCACTCCCGTAAGAATGCGTTGGGGAAACGTGGACACTGACACGCCCCCAGCCATCAAACGATGCGGCCAATGTGGCCGCGTAGTTGCGCCAGCTTCGGGCGTGCGTGGGGATTCATCTGGCGGCCCTCTCCAAGAGGTGGGCGCATCTCGCTGACACGGCGTCTCCGCGTCCCGCAAGCAGCCTGCGCTTCCAGGGCGCTGAAGCGAGCCGACAAGTTAGCATGCGCCTCTTCCACATTAGAGTAACGCTGGGCACTCCAATGAAGGAGGTCCACAACGGCGTTGGCGTGGTCGGTGCCCAAGCGCTTTCTCTCAGCCATGATAAGCCCTGGCTGGACCCCCAACTCCCAATCCGTCCCCACACGATGGACGGGAGCATTTGGTTCTCGAAATTTGGTACTCGAGACGCCCAGAGATTCCCCAAGTGCCCCGCAACGGTAATATCCTCCCAGTGCTTGGCGATAGTCCCTGAAATCAATCGTAAGCCTGTCATGGTTGCGCCAACTGTCCGCACCGCATCGGACGGCCCCTGGCCATAAGAGCGGGTAGGCTGCACCTGGATGTCGCCGTGCTGGGCGCCGATGTCGCCCTACTCCGTCGCCGCGTGGGGAATCACGGTCATTTCATTCAATCAACTTGCATGAATTCGGTGACTATAAAAACAAAAATAATGGGAATAATTTAGTCCTGCCAATGTCGGTACCCTGTTCCCCCTAAAGTCGTGGTCTTCCAAACAGTCATAAAATAGGGGAAAATGGCGTAAAGAAATGCATTCATTTTATCAGGGAATAATAATAATAATTACGGCAACCAGCTTTCCCCTGCGATCACTCTCCTAACACGCTCCTAAAGGTAAAAAGAAAAAAAAAATAGAAGCATAAAGGAGGTCCTATCCCTTCTCCCCAGAAAAAAGGAAAAGGACACAACAATGGGGGAAGTCATTTTGGTTCAATGCGCCCAAGATCCACACACACACACACACACACATGCCAAAAAGAGCATTCATCCAAGACCCACATAAACGCAAATAAATAAATTCATCAGTTCTATTTTATGGCGGCCGGGTGGGTTGAAGCCCCCACAGGACGGCATTCCTTAAAATTCCCCTGCAACCACCGGAGTCCGCTCTGCGCGGGGTGTGGTGGTAGTAGTAGTGGTAGGCGGGACAAACAAAAGAAACTACCGTCAATACCTTGCAGCGCGCAGCACCATTGAAAACTAAATTAATTAATGCAAAACGAAATGCCGTGGTCAAACACGACGCGCTACCAAATACCTGACCCTACCTGAGCACACCTGCTTTCCGAATGCTTCTACGCATTCGCTGAGTTCAAAGAGAAACAGAGGCCGCGCTACAAAATCCTTTGCTCATAACCACAGCTAAACAAAGCAGGGCGCGTCTATGTGTTCTGAAGAAAGATTTCATCCATTCTCCCACACACCTTCTTCCCACAACATCGCCACATTCTCTTCCTCTATTGCCTTCTTTTCCCTTAAAAAGGGCAAAGGGGTTTAGTCAATATCCGAGAGCCTTTGCCGAGGGCGCTGAGGCAAGAACATCTCGCCGTTTAAAACCGTTGGTGTGTCAGGAGCGCCCTGCGGCATGTCACGAACATCCCGATTTCGACGGCTCTCCTGGAAGAAAGAATCATTTCTGCTCGGCTGTCCATCGTCGTCGTGTCCGCCCTCAACTCCCTTCTCGCCACCGGAATGCGCTTCACTCCCCTGTTGCTCGTCATTTCCCTCCGTCGCCGCATCGCCGTGGGGCGAGTTGCTCGCCTCGCCATCCTCAGTCAACAGGAAAAAACACATGAAGCAAAAAATCATCAACGTAGAAAATAAAAAAGACCCGAGAAGAACATACACCGGAATGAGGGCCGCATGGAGTGAAAAAACATCCCCAGCAGCACCGTGACGGGCACGGTCCAAGTCGTTCAGCCGCATAGATACCATTGAAACCGATGCAAGGACAAGGCCAACAGCAATAATGAACGGGATGGATATGACAAAAATATTGCAGCTGCCCGCAGAATTTCCTCGTAATTTGTGGATGAAAATTCGGTGCAAAGCCGAGTCAAGAAGTGTCAGAACACCAAAGACGTAGAATGGCAGCGCCAAAACCACAAAGTAATTTGTCGCAATGACCTCGTCCACGCGACACGCAATAAGAGCGCTGAATACCACCACAGAAATCCCTTTAAGAATACCCACAACAAAAAAAACATTCACGTACGCCCAAAGTCCGTCGTGTCCGCTATCCTTTAGTCTTTCACGCTTTTGCCTCGTGGGGAGCCTTGTAATGATGCCCAATAGAGTTGACGACGCCCCCACAACGTACAGTGGAGCCAGCCAGCGACGCCACGAATGAAAATTATTGCCGCCGCGCAAAGATGTCATGTCGTTTGCATCCTTGGCAACAGGCACAAGAACGGTGAGCACAATAAGAGAAAGTACGATCAGCGTCCACAAGAAGACTCCCACACGTAACGTGCACATCGACACGAAAAAAACAACCAGCGTTGGGATACCGATAATGATGTCAACAATGAACAGCGGTGAAAAGACCTTGACGTAGTTCCAATAGGCTTGACTGTGGTCGTTCACAGAATGAGCGTCCCGCGCCACAAGACGACCC